GCAGGTCGTGAGTTGATGAGAATCTTCGTAGCGATGTTTGTCTGAGGGCGATCAAAAAAAGAAGTCGATTTGTTGTTCTTGCATGTCTTGCCGCAGACAGGATTCGCACCTGCGATCTCCCCATTACAAGTGGGGCGCCTTAACTACTTGGCCACAGCGGCTGTTGTGTTTAACTTTGGCAGGCAGTGGTCTAAATATTGGGGCGTGTGGTTGTATGGTAGTAGAAGATCGCACAACCACAATCAACGAAACTGATCAGGGAGAAGCAGATTTGTGCGACTTGGAGCGCTGAATCGCAGCAGTAGAATGAATCTCTTTCGCTCATCTCTCTAGTCCAGCCCTGTCCGCCCTATCTTGTCGTCGCTTCAATTGTCAATTGCTGCTGGGCTCACTTAAATCCGGGGCCGGCCAGGCCAGCAACCAGCAAGGGAAGAGATTTCCTCCTCAGATGGCTGCTTCTAGACATTTCTACCCGTCTGCGCTGCTTCACTCCTCCCATCGCATCGGCAACCGACATCACCAAATAAAACCCCCTTCGACGCCCCCTTCCACTTCATCTTTCATCTCTTTTTCCTTTCTGTATCTCTGTGCAACCGCAACCTCTAGGGTGAGTCGAACATCTGCACCCCCTTTGGTTCATTTCTCTTCCTCCCCCCTTTCATGATGATACTTCATAGCTGGCACCAGTCTTAGAAGGATTTGTACTCCCATTCATGCGGATTGGCTTTTATTGCAGCGGCCCCTGGCTGGGGGCCGTTCAACTGATATATGTCGGGGAAGAAGAGATGCAGCGCACACCATTGGACATCAGGCATGCTTGAACTCCATGCTAACGATCCTTGAACAGATCTCTTTTCTCTGTAATTTTCATCTCACCACACACACATAACATGGCTCTGCACAACCCCAACAACTGGCATTGGGTCAACAAAGATGTCTCCGCCTGGACCAAGACATACCTGGGCAAGACCCTCGTGGGCATCTTCGCCGAGGAGAGCGGCGTCACCGCGAAGACGACCAAACTAGTCAGCATGGATGGCGACGTAGACGTGTCTCAGCGGAAGGGGAAGGTGATCACACTATTTGACGTCCAGCTGAATCTGGAGTATCAAGGTGTGTATCCCTTTTGGCGGTCCCTCTGTTCCTCCCTTTCTTTTCTATCTTCTAGTTTTCGTCCGTTTCCTCCTCAAATTGAAATGATGACCATTTTACTGAACGTGATCCCTCTCCCTGCGCTTTTGTTGCTTGCTTTTCTTTCGACGTATTGTAGGCACAACCAAAGATGGCGATGATGTGTCTGGCTCAATCAAAATTCCCGAAGTCGCGCACGATACCGAGGAGGACGAGTATGTTGTACGTATACCCAACCTTCCAACCCCTTTTCCCCGATATGAAGAGACAAAAGGTAACCAGGCGATACCGTCATTTCAGTTCAACGTCGACATCTACTCCGACGCTCTATCAAAACAACCCGTCAAAGACCTCGTCCGCACCAAGATCGTGCCCCGGCTCCGCGCTGAGCTGCAAAAACTAGCACCCGCCTTGATTGCAGAGCACGGCAAGGACCTGCAACATGCCCCCGGCGAGAATCCCGCGGACAAGTTCAAGCCTGCGATGACTTACTCCGCCGAAGCAGCGAAGAAGAAGGAGGAGGAGGAGAAGAAGGCTGCTGCTGCTGCTGCCAAGTCCGCCACCACCACGACAACAACGTCCACTACGTCGACAGCCAAGCCTATCGCGATGAACACCACCACAGTCACTGCGACTGACGAGTTCAAGACTACGGCTGAGGAGATGTATATCACCTTCACGGACCCGCAACGCATCGCGGCATTCACGCGCGCACCACCCCGTGTGTTCGAGGGTGCGCAGGTCGGTGGGAAGTTCTCTCTTTTTGACGGCAATGTCTCGGGAGAGTATACCAGCCTGACACCACACTCCGAGATCAAGCAGAAATGGCGACTAGCGCAGTGGCCGGCGGGACACTATGCTGATTTGACGATTGGGTTTGATCAGAATGACATCGATAGGGTGACGAGTATGAGGTGTGAGTTTAAGGGGGTGCCTGTGGGGCAGGAGGATGTTGTCAAGAGGAATTGGGAAGGCTATTATGTCAGGAGTATCAAGGCGACGTTTGGGTAAGTTCGACCTCCTTGCTTCTGTTTCTCGTATTCATCATGTCCCTTTTTGGCTCTTCTCCCTCCTTTTAACGCGTTCGTTGTGATGGTGATGGAGATGTAGGCAAGACATGCCTTCGCATTCTCCTGCACAACGTTCATCACGCAAAACTAAACGCTCTCGCAAACACACCTCTACATCATCTGGCTTCTTGAAGGGGAACGGCTGGCTAATCATGACGGCATCTGCCATTGTTCTCGGTGTAGCTTCGGCACGATTCTTTAGTTCAGCAACATGACCACTCGCTATGTATTGTGAGGCAATGGATTAGAGGGTACAGAGAATAATCACACGACGTTTATCTTATTTTTTTTTCCTAACGTTCATGGTGGTGCAGCTCTATGAAATTTGAGGATGAAATTGAATACATCAATTTGAATGATCATTTTTGGTCTTCATCATCTTCTGATATCTCTGTATCTCCTCCCTCCCCGTCTGCTGACTATCTTCAATTGCTCTATCCAGAGCATCCTCCTGATCCTCTTCCAACCTTCCACACTCGCTTGTGTAGCCATGAATATACTGCATAACCCCTCTCCGCCATCTCAAGAACATATGATACATGCATCAAGAAGGCGCAACGGAACTGCCGGGTGATGAATGAATATATACTGCGTTCTCGGCATCGGTACACCCAGGCCTTGACGCCCAATGATCGACAAAATCTAGCTTTGGCATATGTCCTTTTGGCTGGAAGATCACCAGACCTTACAGGATCAGAGTCCAAATGGCGGGGAACATGGTGGAGTAGGGAGGGAAGCTGGAGCACATATAAGAGAGCAGTTGATCCTGGCCTTGCTATGCTCAAGGATGGTCTTTTTGATCAAAGGCCAGACAGACGACTTGGCCGCATATATCAAGGATGAGGTTCCTCAATCTACAGGCACTGAATGCCGCCTCCCTTGGCCGTGAATTCTCTCTTCTTGTGTCAGGGCTCTCACACGCCAATGCGACTTCCTTAACGTATCGAGCATCGTCACTGGATGACTGGCTCGAGCAAGGATCACAGAAAGCATTGCAGGGTATCCTGAATAACATCGGCTCTGGAGGGAGCAAAGTCGACGGTGCCTCTACGGGAATTGTGGTTGCTAGTCCTAGCAAGAGTGATCCGGACTGTAAGTGTACTTCACTAAATGCATTGAGAGACAAGCTATCTGACATGGGTATCTGTCTTGCCGCCCAGACTTCTACACCTGGACTCGCGACGCTGCTATGGTGATGAAAGCCATCGTGGATGAATACATCGCTGGAAATGATGATTTGCAACCCATCATCCACAACTACATCAGTGCTCAGGCAAAAGTCCAGGTCATCACGAACCCGTCTGGGGATCTAGAGTCCGGCGGACTCGGAGAAGCGAAGTTCAATGTCAATGAGACTGCATTCACAGGCTCGTGGGGCCGTCCGCAGAGGGACGGTCCGGCACTGAGAGCTATCACGCTGGCAACTTATGCCGAATGGTTAATTGTAAGTTACGAGATGTTGTTATCCGCGATTCAAGGACGTGAGCTAATTGATTGATCTGGGAAGGACAATGGACATGCAAGTACTGCGAAATCGATCGTGTGGCCCATCATGCTGAATGACCTCTCGTACGTCGGGCAGTATTGGAATGCGACTGGGTTTGGTAGGTTGATCTGGCCCTAATTGTGCTTCCTGATCACGATATGTGCTAACGTCGTTTTCACTCAATCAGATCTCTGGGAAGAAGTCAAGGGATCTTCATTTTTCACTACAGCTGTCCAACATCGTGCTTTAGTCCAGGGCAACTCAATAGCCAAGTCACTCGGCGTGTCTTGTCATGCCTGCACCACACAGGCCCCGCAAGTCCTATGTCTCCTGCAATCATATTGGACAGGGTCATACATCGATTCGAACCTAGGTTCAGGTCGCTCAGGGAAGGACGCCAATTCCATCCTTGGGAGCATAGAACTGTTCAACCCCGCCGCCACTCAATGTGATGACACGACATTTCAACCTTGTTCTGCAAAGGCATTGGCGAATTTGAAGGTCGTGGTTGACTCTTTCAGAGATCTGTATGAGGTAAATCGCGAGACGCCCAAGAACAGACCCGTGGCTATCGGAAGGTACCCTGAGGATGTCTATTACGGCGGCAATCCTTGGTATTTAACGACATATGCTGCCGCAGAACAATTATATGATGCGATCTACCAGTGGAAAAAGATTGGGAAGATCGACGTTGATGATGTCTCATACGAGTTCTTCAAGGACATTGATTCATATATATCAAAGAAATTATACGCTTCCGGCACCGAAGAGTTCGACAAGATCCTCAATACCGTGAAGTCGTATGCAGATGGATTTTTTGACGTGACGGTAAGTTGAGGTCTACCTGAGAAGTTTGATATCAATGGGTTGTTAACGATGGAAAACAGAAAAAACATACCCCTAGCTCCTTCTCTCTCGCAGAACAGTTCTCCAAGGATGACGGACATCAGCTCTCTGCAGAAGACCTAACTTGGTCCTATACCGCCTTCCTCACCGCAGCAAACAGACGAAGAGCAATCGTTCCTGGACCCTGGGACGAGTCTGCAGTCCGCAATGTTCCTGATAACTGCAAAGCAACCGCTGCAATCGGAGTCTACGCTACCCCCACAAACACTGAATGGCCAACTTCATTGCCCTCAGGGACTCCGACACCTGCTCCTACGCCAACGCTACCGCCTTCGTGCTCTGAGGTTGCTGTGCGGTTCAATGAGCAGGTGACAACATCTCCTGGCCAGGATATTTACATCGCCGGCTCGATACCCCAGCTCGGATCATGGAACCCAGACAAAGCGGTGCTCCTGAAGGCCGACATGTATACGTCTGACCATGCTCTGTGGTATGCCACGGTTAGGCTCCCCGTTGGCGAGACTGTGAAGTACAAGTACCTCCGCAAGGAAAACGGCGGAAAGGATATTGTATGGGAGAATGGGGACGATAGAACCTTGAAGATCCCCCGTGTTTGCGATGTCGAGGT